GACCCCTAATACTAACCCCTATTTAAGGCTTAAACCGAATATCTCCGATGCTTACAAAGTAAGCGACAGAATGCTCAAAACTGCGTTGGCCGGGGAACAGGCCGAGTGAAGGATGCACATGGATGCATGTGCATCTCAAAGTTGTTATGACCTGAATGACATGTGCTGGCAGGTCCTGCACTCTTTTGGTCTAGTCGGGTCTTATAGGGCTGTAAGAGTTTTGGAGCTTACTCTTATGGTCTAGTCGGGTCATTTAATTTAGGGCTGTAAGAGTTCTGGAGCTTACCCTTCTGGTCTACTCGGGTCTTATCGGGATGGAAGAGTTTTGGGGCTGCAAATGCAGGAAGTCAGTGTCAGTCAGGCCGCCTTCACAGCTCGTTTCACTGGGGAAAAGCATGCAGTGATCAAGCTACGGTCGAACATGATGGCTTGGATTGCTATAGCAGCCCTTATTGTACCGCTCCTTGCATGCATAAGAACTGAACCTCAGTAGCTTTAGATAGTCCTCGATGATGCTCTGTTCAACCTCATAATCTCAAAGTCCTCGATGATGTTCTATTGAACCACAATCTCGAATGCCCCCGATACTCAAACCCGATAGGTCACCAACAAAACATCGGGGACCCCAAACTTATCCAAGGCCTCATAAACTGAAATCTTAGCTGGTCTGTTGGCCGAAGTTAAACCCGCCAGCCCCTGAGCCCAAGCTGTATTCGCGAAGCCGAGCTGGTAACCCTAAACCCAAACCCTAGTCTTTTTGGTGTACACCCGTCGATAATCTACTTTCTGAATTCTTGCTCCAGATGGTTCTGGAATCCTGAAGCCCACGAGCCATTTGCTAAACCTCGAAGCGGTCCCAGCCAAGCCACAACTATAGTGAAATAGTTAAGCCCGCTAGTCCAGAAGCACAACAGCCAGGTGGGACAGACGCTGTAACCGATCGGGCCCACACGTTGGCGAGAACTTTGGGATCTGGCGCCGATGCCTCAGCCAAGCATCAGCCCAATCAAGATCTGAATTTCGCAGTTGCTCTTCATCCGTGCTTTCAAAGCAGTCCAAGTTGTTCGTAGGATTTCATGCTGATGATGTTTCGTGTTGCTGCCCTGCTCGCCGCAAGTAATCTACAGATCGAGGGTTTCAAGATCCAGGACATGCAGTTTCCAATGTCTCTCGACTATGTATATGCAAAGCACAGTAGCCTATCCTCAAATGCAAAAGCTATCCTCAAAGACCTATATTCGACGGTAATGCAATAGCACGACCTTCCCTGCCAATGACGCGTAAACGACCTTTGGATGCCATCTTTCCTTGGGGTTCGGACAGCGAAAGTGCCGATGATGATTCGGAGCAGCCTGTGGTGCAGAGGTTTGCAAAACAGCCAAATCTTCCTGAACAGGCAACTGGAATCACCTTCGAGTTGGTTCCTCCTGGTAGCCTAGCAGGAAAAGTCCTTGCTCATTGCCAAACTGCAATACAGAAGCTTCGTATGAGGACTGGTGGGGAATTCTTAGCCATTTACAAGATTGGCATTACACACCACTACATTGACCGCTTTGAGCTGTACCAAAGAAACGGCTGGACTGAAATGCTCATCATGCTCGAGAGTTCAGACCTTGGTTTCGTTGAAATGCTCGAGGCTGCATTGATCTCTCATCACAGAGGTTTGCAGCAATGCCGCAACGTTGTGCTGGGTGGAGAAGGAATGAGAGACAAGTTGGGGAATCCCAAATTCGCGCCCCCGTACTACTGCTACTGCACTGCTGCAAGGGCGGACCTGCCTAGATGGGTTAAGTAAATCCTCAGGCCTTTGATCTATGCATGTGTGTATAGTTTTAGGAAAAGGAATCCCAAGCCATACTGCCCGAAACTAAGCAGAGCTGTGTGATGTGGGCAGGCTATATTTCGGATCCCATGCATGAAATTCGAAAAGCTAGACGGAATGCTGAGAATCCGAACAAAAAGCATCGTTGCCGGTATGTGCCCATGTTTCGGATGAAGCCTAGAAATCACCACCATCCCCGTCTCGGACAGCTGCCTGATTGCCCAGGCCACAGCGAAGCACGTCGCGACCATCGCCAAGGCCTTTGCTGATGACGTCTCTTCTTGCAAGGCTTTAAAAGATCTGGCGCGAGCTCCGTTGAATGATGCCGAGAAATCATTGCAAGCTGTTGTTAAACGATGGGGGCTCACCTTCAATGTTCCACTGACCTACGTGGACTTATCGAATGACTGCAAGATTCCGATGCTTTTGCCAGCTGATTACATTAGAACTCTTCAAGATGAAGGCTATCTGAACAAATTATTAGGTGGCTCTGTCAGCAGCTGCCCCACAGACCTGATTCGGAAAGCTTTCTTTTAAGGCTTTCGTGAAGAAGATGATGTAGTATTTTAGGATCGAAGTTTTTTTATAATCTAGTAGGCTCTGGTAAAAGTGCCTTATCCAAACCCTTAGGCTTAAAGCACCTGCCCTCTGAAGAACACTGGTTAGGTTACGGTAGTCTCCATAGAACATGTGTGTTGGTTGGGTTAGGCTCTTCTCGACTGGCCGAGTACTGGGAGAACTTCCGTGGCGAACAGCCAACACACGAAGTTTTCGACCATGGGGATTTCATCGACTACAGCTGCTTAGTTCCTCTATATCTTCACGGGGACGGTGGCCGTACCTACAAGCGGGATGAACTGATGGTCATTCAATTCCAGCCTGTTTTGGGATTTGGGTCTCGAGTTTCGCATCCAAACAGAATTGGCAACAACACCGGTATTAACCTTCAAGGCCACAGCTTTACCACCAGGTTCTTGATTGGAGTGATGCCGAAACAGATGTATCGTGATTCTTTGGATGTCTTTGATGCCTTCATGCTGGAAGCTATGCGCAACCTCGAGTCCCTGTATTATGAAGGCTTGCAGCTTCTTGACGGGCGAGTCCTTCGATTCTTAGTGGTGGGATTGAAGGGAGATCTGCCTTTCTTGGCAAAAGCAGGACATCTCAATCGCACGTTCTTGAATGTAAGAAAGGCCCCTGAGAGGCCCTCGAGCAAGCCTCTGGTGGGGTGCTGCTGGATGTGCGGGGCAGGCTCTCCGAACATACCCTTCGAGGAGTTCGGCACACAGCCACGTTGGCTCAGTACGTGTGGTGCGAACAATGCCCTGCCGTGGAACACCATGCCGCCCTTGTTTAATCACGTCCCTGCACACGTGCAGGAGGATCGCGGCAGCTTCTTCAAATTGGACCTGCTTCATATATACCATCTGGGCGTGGGCAGGGACTTCGCAGGGAGCAGTTTGACGGTGCTTTTGGAGCAGCTGTACCACGGCGACACCTTTCCTGAAAAACTTGAGGCCTTGAACGATGATTTGAAGAGGTTTTGCGCTTCCACTGGCAAACAGATTCACTTCAAACTTCTGACTCGCGAACTTTTGGGGTGCGCATCGAGCAACAAGTACCCTACAGGACATTGGAATAAAGCCAGTGACACACCAACGCTGGTGGGCTTCGTTCTCTGGATTCTACAGCAGCATGCGGCCGATGTTGCTCAATCTCGCATGTTGCAGATTATGTCTTCGGGGAGTGAAGCGCTGGGATGTTTCATGCGCGAGCTATTGCAGGCTCCACTTTGGCTTTCGCCGGAGCAAGCACAACGAGCCGGAGAGGCAGCCCTGCATTTTTTACAATGCTATGCCAAGCTGGTCGAGATCTTTTATACGAAGGGCGAATGCAAGTACAATCTGGTGCCAAAACTGCATAACATGCACCACTTGAGTCTTGGGCTTTTGGATTCGGCCTCCAAAGGTACAAAAGCAACAAATCCGCTCAGTTATTGCTGCTTTCAGGACGAAGACTTCATTGGTCGCGTCAGCCGATTGAGCCGAAGGGTCAGTCCGAAACTGTTGGTTCGCCGGACAGTGGAGCGTTATCTTATTGCTACGAAGTACCAACTTTCAGATTCGAAGTGATCCTGTGGAAGCGGGCCCCACTTAAGCGCCTTAATAGTAAAGCCTTTCCTTAGCCTTATAGCCTATAGCACGCACCATAAATGTAATTAAAATATATAGTTTCAATTCCACAGGGTTCTTTGCTTCTGAGCTCCTGGCCCAGAGATCCGGATCTCGTCTCCCGTGGAGGCAAACAATCCGCAGCTAGGGCTTCGGGAGGCTTCTGGAGTGAGTTCAGGATTCTGGTTAGGAAGTGAGATTTGAGATTGGGGTATGGGGTCCTCTAGAGTACTCTACCATGGAGATACCAAGGCCCTGGGCCCCAAACTTCAATCCTATCGGTAACTCTTGTATTCTACTTCCTAAGGCTCTAACACCGAATTTTCCCAAAGCTTCATTCATGGAGCACACATCCTGAGCCAATGCTTTCAGGAACCCTCCCAGACTAGAGATAACCCTGGATAGGAGTTTCTATTTCCAAGGCTTCAACTTTGGATGATTCCTTGAGCGACCCTGAAGCTTATCTTGCAATTCCCTAAAAGGCCCTAAAACCCTTGCGCCCGTAAACCTAGTAATGCGACTGTTTCCTCATGGACTTTCCAGTCTTTCCCATTATTATTATGAATAACCTATGAATATCTGAACAGCGGTTTATTAAACGCCGAGGCAGGCCGCAGGTATATATATGTATATATGTATGGATTTTTATGCATACAATGTCAGTGAGTGTTGTTTTACTTGCCAAGGGCAGGTCTCCTCTTCTGTGGAGGAGGACGCTGTGGGAACCTATGTGTTTCACTTGTCTGGAGTGTTGCTGAAAAAGTTTTCCAGACTTTGGGTTTCATGGTTCGTTTGTTGCTTTAAAACCTCCCCCACAACAACCGCCTCATCAACAAGAGCTCGCAATGACAGAGTTGACCTCAACCCCTACACCTTCAAACCCAATACCCTGGACCTTAAACCTCTTACCCCTGAGCCCCTATACCCCTCCACCCCCGAAGCCCCCGAAGTCCACAACTTTGGCCGAAAGCCTTAAAGCAAAAAGGCTAAGGGAATGAGCCTGCGAGGTTCTGATCGCCTTGCAGCGGTGTTTCTCCCTGGCCCGTTCGACGGCTCGCCAAACGAGGAGGCACGGTGTAGGCTTCAGAAATTAGGCTCAGGGTTTCAGTGTTGAGGTAAGTCCTGTAGTTTAGGGGCTAGGTTTCACAAGGATGTGCTGAGGGTTTGGGGCTTACCTGATGCTTCAACTCGCTGCAGACTTTCGATTCGCACTTTTGTTTTGGGCTTCCCATACTCAAAGCTGGATCCGTCATAGGCCAAGGACGCTTTTATCAATAATATGTATATATATATATATATATATACACATAGTATAGCAGCCGGAATAACTACCAATACTGTTCCCTTACGAGCATTTTAGAATGTACCGTAACTTATACTAAACCCTAAACAACCCAGAGCACAACCTAACAAAAACCTACGACCCTCTATGCTTTTCCCAAACCCCAGACCCAAAACCATGGAACCCCCGATTTCGAAATCTGCCGACCTGTAGCCGAACTTCAGGCCTTGTATGACAGCTTCGGAACATAAGGGACTCTCTCTCTCTCTCTCTATATATCTATCTATCTATATATATATATATATGTATGTATGTACAACTTAGTAGCATATGTTTATGTGTTTATACACATACATACATACATACATACATACATACTTACTTGCTTACATACCAACCAAACATACATGCATGCATACATACCAACAATAAATACCAACCAACCATACATATATACATCCATCCATGCATACATTCATCCCTCCATCCATACATACATACATGTGCCAGGTTCTTGTTGTGGGGACTACAAATCAGGTGTCACAGGAGCCCTGCTAACTAGTAGCCATGCTCGCTGGCTGTCAAGGGGTTACAAGTCTCTTTGTTTGTAAACCATTTCTCAAAGGGGAAAAGGAGGGACCCTTAATGGGGACCCCTACCGTATACTGGGCTATATAATGGGTATATACTAGCTATATTAAGGGTATATACCTAGGGGTCCTTATTAAGGGTCCCTCCTTTTACCCTTGGAATTTCCTTCGAACGTTTTGTTGGAGTCTTTGGCTGGCCATGGTTGATGGTGCAAAGCCGTAAATCCCAACGCCATGAAAGTCCTAAAACCCTACGGGTTTAGGGTTCCCTAAACCCTAAGCCCTAAATCCCTAAACCCTAAAACCCTAAACCCTAAACCTTGAACCGGTTGGAGCCTCTTGTCCTCATCCCGGCTCTGCCTACTAAAAGACTGTTGCAAGGAGGAAAAGGGCCCTCAAAAAATTGAATCCGTCTACCTATTAGGTATTCTGACTGTACCAAGGAGGAACAGGGCCCTCAAAAAATGAATCCGTCTACCTACCAGGTATTCTGACTGTACCAACGAGGAACAGGGCCCTCAAAAAAAATGAATCCGAAACGAGGGCAGCGTCTTGGCCTTGGATGCTGAGACCGGAGAGGACGGCCCAGTAAGGATTGACATACCCAGACCCCCGCAAGGGAGGATCCAGAAAATAGATCCCTTAATGGGGGGGTTCCTATAAAGTTCCCTTAGTAGTACAGGGCCCCAAATTAGGGGATCTACTTTCTAGATCCTCCCGGGGGCCTGGGTAAGGATTGACATAGCAGGCATTTGTGAGATCCGTACTTACAGGTCTTAGTTGCTTAGGTTTTCATCTCGAGGGTTACGGGTCCAGCGTCTGCGATTACCCAGAGAGCCCAGTACCCCTTAATTAAGGAATATAGCTTAAATCATAATATGAAGCCCCATATAATTTAAGCCATATTCCCTAATTAAGGGGTATTGGGCTCTCTGGGTAAGCATGTAGGGTTTTGCATGACAAAAAGTCAAGAGCTCAGTACCTGCTCGGCAGTAAAACCCTGCTGTTTGCGTAATAAGGACCCTTCGCGACAATTTCTGGGTGCAAGGGTCAGGATTTGTGATCTGTTTCTGGAATCATCTGGACTCCTGATTAGTAATGCCCTTCCTGTAAGAGCCCTAATTCTGAGATCCCTGCTATGACCCTGCGTACATGAAAGAGGAGGTGTTTACATTACTTACTGGGTTCTTGTTAACCCTAAGGCTCCATGTACCCATATTACTATATATCTTAGAAACTTAAGCCTTAAAGTTGTTCCTATATAGGTACGTTAAGGCCTAAGTGTATACTATATGGCTACCTGGAGCCTTAGGGTAAGGAGCCCAGATTATTGCCTTCAGGGTTTCCGGGTGACCCTAAGCCCTACCTTAACCCCAAAAAACCGACCTTTCTATGGACTTTTATATAGAAATCATATGAGGGACACCTGAAAACTAGGTTATATGGGGTCCAAGTAGACTCAGAAAGCCCTAAGTCTTTCAGACCTCAGGGTCAAGGCCTAGGATTAAGGGTGCAGGGGCTAGGGTTTACCCATAGGCCCCAAAGTAGCTCCTTTTGGGATTACCTTATAGGATTCTATATATGTACCCCAAAAAGGGGCCTAGGGTTTAGGATTTACGGTTCAGGGCCTAGGGTTTTTTGTTTGTTTGTTTCTTAAGTTTCAATGTTAAGCGCCTATAGGCTTGTGGAGTTTAGGGTTGAAGGGCTTCGTATTCGACTCCTTGGGCCCTCGCTCCTATACATATGGGAGTTTCCGAAAATAGGGGGTACCTTATTTGGGGGTCCTTATAATAAGGATCCTACTATTTAGGGTACTATATTGGGGTCCCCTATTTTCGGAAACTCCCATATCTATCCTGAGCCTGACAGGAGGGGTATCTCTTCTTATTTGCCCGCAGTGGTTCCCCAAGCCGAAACCCTAGTCCGAAACGACGCTGATGTCTGCCCGGATTTTTGGAGGAGATTTGGAAGAATCTCATCTGCAAGCGGCGAGGGTCAGATTTGAGTTTGGGGTTTAGGGTAGATTTGACTTTAGGGTTCAGGGTTTAGGGGTTTTTGCTTGTTGTGGCCTTAGGGTTTCGGTCCCAGGTTTGGAGGTTTAGGGTCAATGATGACTAGCAGGTCTTCATTTGGGATCATTCTGGCTACGCTTCTTCTTATCATTCCCTAGAGCTCCAGTTACCTAGATGGTACGTTGACAATCATGTATTTTAGACCCCAGAAACCTACTATTTAGGCTATTGGAGCCCTAGGGATTGTTCTGATTGTTATTCCTAGAAGTCCCTGAACAGCATTGTGCGCCCCCGAACCCCGTTCTAACTACGTACCCAAAAGAACCCTTAATTGTAATGGAGCCCTTAACCTTGGGAACGTTTAAAGGAACCGTTTCGTCAGGCCCCTCTAACCTTAAGAATCACTTTAAGGGAAGCGTTTGTTTAGGCCTTTCTATCAGGGTAGAGGGTAGATCGTAGGCGCCTGTCGGGAAGCCTTAGTAGCAACTCTAAGGGTGTCTATTGGTGGTCACAGGGGCCTGAAGAATTGCTAATACTATTCCTTCGGGGCCTTTATCACCCTCCAACCCATGAGTTCGAACAACCTGCCGACTGCGAAGCCGAAGACGCAAGCCAGAACCTTCTACTGAAATTCATTACTTCGGGTTCATTATTAAGCTCTACTAAACAATGCAAGGCCTTCTTCTCACTCAGGTTCAACACGGAAAACTACACTTCGCCTCTGAACCAGGCCATACTACGGCGGCGGTTAACGTTTGTTGAAACTGGTTCAACGGCGATTTTGGTCAAGGTTTGTTTGGTGCGCATACGGCTTTGTAGGGTTTAGGAATGTTTAAGAATATCCAGTCGTTAGAGCTCTGCATGAGTGTCCCCGTGATGTTGTGAACATTTCATGTGAGGTACGGTTTTCTTGAGTCAAGGATGAGGCTTCTGGGGCTCGTTCGGGGTTTTGTTGAGCATAACTTACAGTGGTACACATAAAGAGCTGTACCATCTTGTTACTTCGATTGCCTTGCCGCTCTTGATTGTGTCTTGGTCTCTCTCTGTCTCTGTCTCTGTCTCTATCTCTCTCTCTCTCTCTCTCTCTCTCTCTCTCTCTCTCTCTCTCTCTCTCTCTCTCTCTCTCTCTCTCTCCCTCCCTCCCTCTCCTCTCGCTCTCTCTCTCGCTCTAAACTCTCCCACCCGCTTCTCTCATCTCCAAACTCCGCTCTTCCAGCTCTCCCTCCCTCTCCACTCTCTCCCCCCTCTCTCTCTCCCTCCACTCTCCTGCTCCCTTCTCTCTCCTCACCTCCTCTCTCCACACTCCTCTCCCTCTCTCTCTCTCTCTCTCTCTCTCTCTCTCTCTCTCTCTCTCTCTCTCTCTCTCTCTCTCTCTCTCTCTTGTGGTGGTAGTAATATTATTATTAGTAGTAGTAGTAGTAGGTAGTAGCAGCAGCAAGAGTAGTGTGCAGCTGTTATGACTGCAGGTGTTCCAGAAAGCCTGTGTGTGGGGTTGGGAATACGGGTTCCGCATGCTTCGCTTCAATCTTCCTGCACCCTGATATGCACAACCTTAGTTTCAAAACCGCCAAGACCCCAAACACTCTCATCCCCAAAAGCCCTCAACGCTTCAAAAACCTGTTGCCATCAGATAGTTACAGGGCCCTTAATAATTAGACAATAGGTTTTGGGTATACAGTTTACTATAAGTATAACAAGGAACCCCGAACACCCTACTCCAATGATTCAGGCCCCAATTGCAGCCATATAGTACCCTTATGGTATCCATTAAACGAACAAAGGAACCCTGTATTCTAACTATCAAGGCCCCTACATTACCAGTATCGTATCTGCGGAGGCTGCAGGCGATTTGGAGGGCTTCGCAGACCGCACGACGGAAGGCACGGGACAGGGTTTAGGGTGGTGGGGTTTAGGAAGGGTTTCGGGGTTTCGGGGGTATTGGGTTTAGGGTTTAAACCCTAAACCCTAAACCCTAAACCTTAAACCTTAAACCCTAAACCCTAAACCCTTAAACCACTTAAGGTTTAGGGTCGGGTAGGGGGGTTTAGGGCTTCAAGGCTTGGGGACCTTTAGGTTTCATGACTTTGGAGGGTTCAGGGTTTAGGGCCACGGGTTGGGGCTTAACATATCCCCAGACCCCCGGGAGGATCCAAAAAGTAGATCCCTTAATGGGGGTTCCTATAAAGTACCCTTAATAGTATAGGGCCCCAAATTAGGGGATCTACTTTCTAGATCCTCCCGGGGGTCTGGGTCTTAACATGGCGTTACGCTCCGGGACCGGGAATACATGTTGGTTCGCTAAGACTGAGTGTTTAGTATATCAGAGCAGCCGGTTTAGCAGTTAGGCCGGTTAGGCTAGTGCCCCAAGTAGAGCTAATACCACAAGTTCAATAGTGCTGCTGCTGCTACTACTACTACTACTACTACTACTACTACTACTACTACTACTACTACTACTACTACTACTAGTGCTGCTACTTCTGCTGTTGCTGCTACTACGACGACGCTCAGCGCATGTACAGAATATAGAGGTTTTCGCACGAAAGGCAATCTGGAGAAGGACCTACTTGAAACATGCTGCTCTGACCCAGATAGATGGGGCTTCTAAAACACTGCGTTGAACATATGGTCCAGGCATTTTTCTGGTGTCTTCAAAGTAGGTGTTCTCACTATATAAGAAAGGGTGTGGGGGTATGCATATTTGCTAGGTCATCTTCGTAAGTGTGGTGTTTGGTCACAGTTTCCTCTGGGTCGTCTTCGTAAGCATGGTGTTGGGTGCCAACCCTCTCCCAACCCTCTCCCCCTCTCCCAACACTCCCACTCCAACCCTCTCCCAATCCTCTCCTCCCCTCCCAACCCCCAACCTCCTCCCAACCCACTCCCAACCTCCCAAACCACTCCCAAACCTCCTCCCAACCCACTCCCAACCTCCTCCCAGCCCTCCTAACCTCCTCCCAACCCACTCCCAACCTCCTCCCACTCCCAACCCACTCCCAACCTCCTCCCAACCCACTCCCAACCTCCTCCCAACCCACTCCCAACCTCCTCCCAACCCACTCCCAACCTCCTCCCAACCCACTTCCTTCCAACCCACTCCCAACCTCCTCTCCTCCTAACCCACTCCCAACCTCCTCCCACCCTCCTCCCCAACCCCCCCCAACCTCCTCCCACCCACTCCCAACCTCCTCCAACCTCCTCCCAACCCACTCCCAACCTCCTCCCACCCCACTCCCAACCTCCTCCCAACCCACTCCCAGCCTCCCAAACCCACTCCCAACCTCCTCACCCCCCAACCTCCTCCCATCCTCCCAACCCCTCCCAACCTCCTCCCAACCACTCCCAACCTCCTCCCAGCCCTCCTAACCTCCTCCCAAACCCCACTCCAACCTCCTCCCACTCCCACCCACTCCCCCCAACCTCCCCTCCTCAACCCTCCTCCCACCCACTCCCAACCTCCTCCCCCCCCCCCAACCCACTCCCAACCTCCTCCCAACCCTCCTAACCTCCTCCCAACCCATCCCAACCTCCTCCCACCCCTCCCCAACCTCCTCCCAACCCACTCCCCCTCCCTCCTCCCAACCACTCCTTCCCACCCACTCCAACCTCCTCCCAACCCACTCCCAACCTCCCAACCCCTCCCCCTCCCACCCCTCAAACCCCTCCCAACTCCTCCTCCAACCCACTCCCACCTCCTCCCAACCACTCTCCTCTCCTCCGCCCCAACCTCCCCCACCCTCTCCCACGCCCACCCCTCCCACCCCTCCCACCTCCTCCCAACTCCCAACCTCCAAAGCCAAACACCCTCCAAGACACACCTCAAGCCAAATTCGCTCTGCCTTCTTCCGGATGCAGGTCCGAATTCTTTTTGGGCAAGTAGCGGGGTCGTCTTCGGAAGGGCGGTTCGGGTGTCCTTAAGAATCCGGTCGGCTCGGGAGGGGCCCAAGTGCCGATTTCAGCAGTTATCTTCTTTAGTGCTCCCAACCCACTCCCCAGCTGCTCCCAACTACATAACTCCCAACCCACTCCCCAAGCTCTCCCCAGCTGCTCCCGAAGCAATCATATCGCCGAGGCATCCTCTTATTTACTGAGAACACCTCCGCCGTAGACACCAGAAATATCCCCTGATATGGGTAATGCAATTCGCAAGAGTCATGCAATTATTCAGCTTAGATCAGTATGTACCCTAAATCGTAAAGGGATATGCATAGGAAATCCTTTAGGTCAAGGAACTCGTGGACATGGCAGCAGGGAGTTATAGCCTCTGTAGCCATGGTTAAGTCAATAAAGCCTGTAGTTGTCTCAGGCTCCGGATGTTTTTAAATCAACCGGTGTATTGGGCTCTCTGGCTACATACAGTGATAACGCCTGTAGGTCGTAGGTGTCGTAGGGTCCAGATATTCCCTAATCAACGGGGTTGGTTAATCACATAAACTTCTGAACCCCCAAATCCTAAACCCTAAGCCCGAAACCCAACCAACCCTAAACCCGAAACCCGAAACCCGAAACCCGAAACCCAACCAACCTTTAGAGGCATCCAAGCCATTTGCGCACCAGCGCACTGGTCTGCCCCCACCATTGACGGCAGTGGTACCGCCACTGGGGCAAGAGAAGTGGAATACTGTTCGGTTTAGGGTTTAGGGTGAATGTTAAATGGTCGCTTCAAGGAAAGCCATTTTCAAGATACAAGAAGATGCCTGAAGCTTAACAGATGGTGACTAAATATGATTTCCTTACTACTGGGGTTTGTTTAAGATACCATAGTGGTGGTAACATACTTCGCGAATTCGTAATGACCGTGTTGTGTGAATGCTTTTGTGGGTGGCACGCCTCGGCCCAAAACAGGACAAGGATACCACCCCCCCAACGGGTTTAGGATCGAAGCCACAAAAATTGAAGAGAAACCCGAACCCTGAAGCTGCGGTGCCCAGGGATATCAACGGGTTGTCGTGGTCTGACACGTAGCGACACACTGGAACCCAAAAGCTGCGGCCAGAACCCTCGACCCTAGTCTGTCTGGTGCTTAGTAGGGAATTGGGGGAATGGATCCCTATACATAGTAGTCTCTAGATCATCCCCAATAATAATCTAGGTTGCCCAGTAGTACCCTTATTCCCTTTTTGTAGTCCTAGGCTCCTTATAAAGTTACCCAATACCAAAAAGAGAGGCCTTTTTATTCTTAGGTTACTGGGTATCCTAGCTCTATATAATCTCAATAATAATGGTCTCCATAATCTATTCCCCCCTTCCCTACTAAGAACCAGACAGGGCTCCTTCAACCCATTGTAAACCCTCATCACGCCTCAGGCCATGAACCCCAAACTACCCTACACTTCACCGCTACAGGCCTAAACCTTGATCCTCTCTACCAAAACAAAGAAAATACACACATCTACATGTTCATATAGACTGGTATTCATTTATTCAGTCGTGTAAGTAAATATGTGTGTATGAAGTTTTATGTAGGTTCCAAAAAAAATGTTGTTTGAGTGCTTTTTCAAGGATTTAAACCTTACTGGGAGTCGTGGTTCCCGTTTGAGGTAGCCTCGGGTTTGGGGGGGTTTTAGGGTTGAGGGCGGCATCCTTATGCTTTCGGGGGGGTGCGCCCCAAAGCGCGAGGGTTGGGAGGTATCCGTAGGAGCCTAAATAATTGCCGATACTAGTTTTTTCTTGGTGGGGTCCTTATTTTTCTTCCAGTTTTATCGGGGCCCAAACCCTTTTCTAATTACTAAGGCTCCCATGAGTATCCTTGTTCCTTGGAGGGGTGGTATCCTTGTCTGTTTGAGGTGTGTGCAAATCCTTAGGGTTGAGGAGTTGTCCTTGGTCTACGTGGTGAGCGTCCGCTGCGGGATTGTCGTAGGGGTTTAAGTCCGCGTCTGCTTCTTGTGAGGGTTGAAGGCCACTTCTAGTAGGAGTTTAAGTTCAAGACAGCCTCTTTACCGAAAAGTGCATTTCCACAAGGAGCTGTCAGTGTTACCTAGAGTCTCCATTGTAGTTCCTTTATGGGGTTACCTTATAGGATCCTTAATACATAATTGGTTAAACCACAAAAAGGAACCACAATGGAGACTATAGGTAAGTGTTTAGTTCTTTTTTCTAGATTTGTCTCCGGTTCCTTCCATCTGGCGGCCTTTAGTCCCTAAATCTTGACAACCTCTTTAAGAATTACCAAAACAGGCCTTTCCACAAGAGTCGCTTATGGTAAAAATCGTCCATGTTTGTGTTTTGTGTAGGATTGGCCCTGTTCGCGCTTGTCGAGCACGAGTTAAGCCTAATGCAGAGAAGCGGAATAAGGCTCACAAAAGACCAGGAATTCTCGAGGAATGGTGTAGTTAATATTCAACATATCGTGATGCAAGCAGCCCCTCAGCCCTAAGAAACGCCGGCTAAGGACCAATCGTTGACTCTGTCCAAGCCCGACACATGAGAAGGTCAATGCTGCAACTTCAAAACCCGAACCGATTCTTGCATACTGCCCCCCACTGTAGCAGCTGTATAATTACTTTGTAGAACATGTACATATATATATATATGTATATATGTATACATATATATATGTGTGTGTATGTGCATGTGCACATGTATAGAAACAAAGCCTTCAATAAGACCCCGCACATAAACTGTTGCAGAGGGGGTGGGGCGGTACACAAATTTAATTTGATATTATAGTAGGGCACTTATAACCCAGAAAGCAGCCAGCATACCAAGTCCTAAGCAGTCATACAATCCCTGTTGTGAACCCTAAGCCCCTGAACCCGTCTACCCTAAACCCAAGTGACCTTAAGGCTAGACCTCAGCCAGCAAAGGTCTATGGGCTCCGGATGAACGGCAAGCTCTACGTGCCTAGCCTCCGTCTCCAGTGTGGAATTTTGTGTTGTTTTTGCTGCTGAGCCTCAGGGGTCAATATTGGCTGAAGAGGATCTTCGGCTGTTGCTCCAATGTTCTCAGTTGGCATGCTGGCACGGGGCATACCGCAGTTCTTACTTAGTATTTTGGTGCAGATGCTCACACGGATCTATAAACCCCAACACTCTAAACCCCTACACCCAAAGCCAAGCCGCCGATAACCACTCTCACACCCTTTTCGGGGATGCAAACCAGAATGGATCTGCGGCGTCTTCCTCATGTCCTGTCCGGGAGCCCTTATATCCTTTAAGCTTGAGAAGCCTGTGCGCGAGGCCGTGCATGGCCCGCAGGACACCGTGGACACCAAGGAGCATGATTTGGTTCGTGTAGCCCGACTAATCTACCTACTACCAAAAGTTTTGTTGGTGGACGGAAGTTATCTGCAGCGCGTCAAAATTAGGTCTTGACCCCATATATTTTTTATGTACATGAGTCTGCATGCATGCCCTTTTACTGTACCAGTATCATTGCAACTGTTACGAGTATTATTATTATCATTTCTGGGTTATATGCTAACAGTGGCAGTGTTATTATTGCTCTAACCCTATATATACATATATATATATATATATACATATACATGCGTACACACACACATGTTTGTGTGTGTGTATGTCAATGCATGCATGTATGTCTGTATGTATGCATGCATGTATGTATGTATGTATGTATGTATGTATGTGTATGTATGTGTAAGTACGTACATATGTATGTACGTATCTAGTGAAAGTTTGTTAACATATACATCCACATTTACATTTGCACATGTAAGTGTGTATATACTGATGTATCTGTGCCCATCTGACATATGAAGACCTATCTGAACCCGAGGCACAAGCGTTTTGCTGACCACTACAACTACGTCCTTCTTACGGCAATGAAAGAGAAACGTAAACCGGTGCGACAGCAGTTATGTATGTGTATGCCTATATTGAGAGGTTGAAACGAAACTGGCGCTGGAATCCCTAACCGACAATCTCATACGCTAAATCATGTGTTTCCATGGGGGCCCAGAGATCCCAAGCCTGAGCCCAAACAGCCTGTGTCTCGCAGACGAGCCAAGCCTCCTATCTACATGAGAAAGAGATAGAAAGAGGGCAAAGGTGTTGTGTCAGGACCCGCCTCCCTAAACCCTAAACCCTTCAACACTACTCACTAAACCTCTAAGCCCTGCACCCCGAAACCCGAGACCTTCAAGCCCTATACCACTGCACCCCAAACCTTCAACCTTTTCCAGGCCTCGAGCAAAAACACGCTGTCCCGACATTCTTAAACCTCGACCTATCAGCAACCCCTGCAGTAGCAAACCCCGTAGTTAAACAACGGCGCTTTAGGGCTTCGCGTAGAAGGCCCTGTAATTGCTAAACCTCCAAAACATCCCATAGCCTCAACCCTATACGCCGTACCCTGACCCCGATAAACCTTAAGCCTGCACCCTAGGCCCAAAACCCTAAACCCTTAACCCTAAACCTTAAACCCTAAATTATAACCCCTAAACCGTGGCTATAGGCCCTAAACCGTACCTACAGGCTCATACCCTACCACTTTTTTAGGGCGCATACTTTTTAAGATAACAGACCCTAACCAGAAAACTAGGTATCCTAAAAAAGGGGTCGGGTATGAGCCTCTAGGTGCAACCTTGGAAATCGGTGTAAAGACAAAGGCCCCAACAACCTGGCTCAGCTTTGCAAGGAATTCTAGCTGTTCGGCAGTCGGAAAAGAGCCCTCAAAAAAAAAGTGGCTATGGGCCCTAAACCATGCAACCTAAGCCCTGCCTGATACCTCGCGAGGAACTGAAAACGGCCTTGGTCCTGGACTCTTCCACCGGCCCTCCGGACGTAAAGAAATGAGTACATATACTTGCTTTTTGAAGTACCTTGGCGACTATAGGGGCCTAAATAATTACCTATACTATTTTGGGAAGTGCTGTACTACAAGTACAGTATAATTTACCACAGAACCCTATTCTAATTGTAAAGGCCCCTACATTTACAAAACCCCATTATAGATCCCTGAAAGACCCCATTTTAAGGATCCTTCGAAAGGGAGCCCCATTCTGATCTTTACACCCTAAACCCCTAAACCCCAAAAACCTAAAGCCCCAAAACCCTAAAACCCTAAACCCCTAAACCCTAAACCCCTAAACATCCTTGCGAGGCTCAAGGCAAAGGCTGTCGCACCTTGAGCTCTCAAGCTAAGCCTAATCCTGGGGATCCTGGTGTAGGTGAGTTACTTGGAGGTTCATGGGAAGTTATAAGTGGGGTTATACGGCCCCGAACTTAGGTTATAGCCATAGTAATCCTACTTATACCCCTAGTTATAACTACCCATGAACCTCCAAGTAGGGATCACTGAGCTTGAGGTCTAGGTCAGATTCAACACTGGGACTTGGGCTTCAGGGTGCAGGGGTTTCGAGTTTCGGGCTTGCTTAAGATAGAGTTGATGGGCATGAACGTGTTTGAGCATTACTTAAGGCATGAGGTTGAGTGTTGGTCATGGCCCCGCCCAAAGCCCCTGGTGGCTGTACCCGAAGATGGTGAAGTAGAATAGGGTTCAGTGGTGTGAATTCGGGGCTTAAGGGGCCAGGGTTGAATTGTTTAGGCTGCAGGGCATACGTTGGCAGAATATGTCCTGAATGGAACATGGTTTCAATCCAAGGTATGTATTTTCCCAGACTGTGGAATTTGTGCAAGGCCTTTAAACTGACCTCCAAACGAACCCTTCACCTCACATCCTACACTAACCCTGAACCTAAACCCTAAAACCACCTCTAATTCCGATACACCGAACAAACACTAAACCCAAGCCCAACAAACCAGCCCCACATAACCCGCAGACTAACACTAAACCCCAAACCCCTCAAAAAACCCTACACCCAACCCGACAAACTAACCCTAAATTTATAACCCCTCAGCGGCAACCTAGGCGTGGTGGCAGAGGTTTACCAGATTGGCAGCGCTTCGTTACATGGTCAGAGACCTGGTTCACGTGGAGCTTTCTAGACCTTCCAAAATCCCTTAATTCAGGAGTTATAAGTTGTAATAGGATCCCTACTATGTAAGGTGTATTGCTTCATTAAGGAATATACCTTCAGGACTATACCGCAAGTCATATTAGGGATCCTACTTGAACTGAATAAGGTATACTCCTTAGTGAACTGATTTTGGAAGGTTTGGGCTTATCAAGGCCCCTGTATGCAAAGTATCAGAAGAACCATCGAAGGGATCCGAACAGACAGGCCTAAAGCACAGGGGCTTACTCATTACCGACCACAATATGCTGCGAAAAGGTTGCTGGGAGCCATATGTAGTAGTGTTAAGGTAGTATTTTATTATTCTTACAGGTTTCAGTAATATGTACAACTTTAGAACCATGTATATATATATATATATATACACCACAAGCTTATACTGATTTCTATGAGCTTCAGTTTGCGATCCAGACTTCTTAAATCCCAAACTGCCAGACGTAAGTTCCCAAGACAACAAGCTAGGGCTGATGATCTAAATCCTAGGGTTCTTTTAAAGGGATCTATAAGGGTACCTTTCTAAGGGGTCCATATAAGGGATCTATAGGATTTTAGTGTGTAGGGTTTGGGGATATAAATCCTGCATTACCCATAATTAGGAATATACCATAGTTCCCATAGTTTAGGGTCCTGAAGGTTATGCAGGATTTATATCATCAACCGTACAGGAAGCACATAAGCGTAACCATTTTATGGGGATATCCCTACCTTATTGGCCTTCCTTGTAAGGGGGTTTATATGGGATATCCCTATCCTAATTTTGCTCATGTGCTTTTTTGGGGCCGTACAAGCAGCCTGGCGAAGACCTTTATGAAGCCCTGAAACAGCTGTGGGGCTTAGGGTTCAACTACAGTCCTAGCTGTGGTCTCCATTGTCGTTCCTTCTGGGGTTACCTTATAGGATCCCACATAGAAAGCTGGTAAAACTCCAAAAGGGGAACTAGAATGGAGACTTTAGGTAAAGCCCTGAACCGCCGTAAACAGCTCGAAAGACCCCTGGAACAGCGTCAAGAAGGCAATTGAAAAGCTTTGTTCCTTCAGTACACCCCGGACCCTAAAACCTAAACCCTAAAGTACACCCAAGACCCTAAACCCTAGACTTCTACTAAACCCTAGACTTCTACGCATGAAATCCCAACTTCCTAAAACCTCAAAAGCCTTTTAGCTATCTGACGTCGCCGAAGACCCCGGTAAGAGGCCACCATAGTATCGGAAGAATAGGAACGGAAGAAACCCAGCACCCTAATGTAAGACCCTATTAAGAAACCCTGGGCCTATAACCCCAAAATAGTACGATTCATATAAAGAACCCTTACAAAGGCCCATGGTTTCTTTGTCAGGTCCCGACATTACTTGGAGGATCATGGGACTTAGTAAGTAAGGGTATAAGTACCTCAACGGGGGTTAGAAGTAGTTATAAGTAGAGTTACCCGAAATATGACCCTAGTTACTAAGTCCCATGATCCTTAAGTAACCCCTATAAGCCCTAAGCCCCATAGATCCCCTTAAGGAACCCTATAGATCCCTTTAAAGAGCGCTTTAAGAACCCTTAAGAGGCCCATGATCCGTTAAGTACCAGGAATTATACCCTAAACCCTTTCTGAACCCTGATAGATCCCTTTAAGGAACCCTTACAGTAGAAGCCAGAAAGTTGGAATATCATTATCGTAACCCCTTTAAGGTAAATTATAGGGGATCCTACCATTAATCCATATTCCAACTTTCTGGAGTTCCCTATAAAGGATAAGGAAAGCCGATGAGCAAGAACAGTCTTACGCGAAACTGCCTTAATGGAAGCCTGTGTAGGAACCTTACTTGGAGGTTCATGGGTAGTTATAAGGGTGCCTTTAAGGGTCCCTTTAAAGGATCTCTAGGGATTCTATAGGGGTATAGGGTTTAGGGTCTACTTGGAGGTTCATGGGTAGTTATATTTATAAGCGATAGGTTACCTATAGTCTCCATTGTAGTTCTTTTTTTGGTTTTAACCAATTTTATATTAAGGATCCTAACAGGTAACCCCAGAAAGGAACTACAATGGAGACGATAGGTATAGCCAGAGATATTCTACTTATAACCCTGCCTACTTATAACTGCCCATGAACCTCCCGGTACACCCAATAAGGGTTCTTTTTGAGGTTATAACCTATATTACGGGACCTAAAACCCCACTTAAAACTACCCATGAACCTCCCAGTACACCCATAATTAATACCTGGACCCTAAAGAACCTACCTTTTTAAGGACCTAGATAAGGACATCATAATAAGGAACCCGAAAAGGAAGGTTTTATAGGGTCCAGGTTTGGGTTCCTTCTATAGGGTCCTTAAGGGAGGGTGGTTCAAGGGGGGAGGGTAGAAAGGATCCTTAGGAAACCTTAAGGGAACCTTAGGGGAGTACTAGGGAGAATTAGGGATCACTAGGCTATATTCCCCCCCTTGGACCCCCCCCTCCCTTAAGGATACTACAATTTGAGGGTTCACCTCCAGGTGCCATGGCATGGGCCCCTGGGCTCTACGCCTTTTCCACCTGCGACACGCTGCAGGTCTATCACACGAAGTGAGAATTTCTTTGAAGTCTCCTTTCAAGGGTTTAGGACTCAAGGGTTTCTAAACCCTCTCTTTCAAATGAGTATTTAAATGTTGAGCCATGTTTTCGTTCGGGACCCCCCGGTGGTTCAGCCAGGTTTTCGTATGGACCCCCCGGTGGTTCAGCTAGGTTTTCGTATGGACCCCCCGGTGGTTCAGCTAGGTTTTCGTATGGACCCCCCGGTGGTTCAGCTAGGTTTTCGTATGGACCCCCCGGTGGTTCAGCTAGGTTTTCGTATGGACCCCCGGTGGTTCAGATAGGTTTTCGTATGGAACCCCCGGGGGTTCAGCTAGGTTTTCGTATGGACCCCCCGGTGGTTCAGCTAGGTTTTCGTATGGACCCCCGGTGGTTCAGCTAGGTTTGTATGGACCCCGTGGTTTTTCGTATGGACCCCCCGGTGGTTCAGCTAGGTTTTCGTATGGACCCCCCGGTGGTTCAGCTAGGTTTTCGTATGGACCCCCGGTGGTTCAGCTAGGTTTTCGTATGGACCCCCCGGTGGTTCAGCTAGGTTTTCGTATGGACCCCCCGGTGGTTCAGCTAGGTTTTCGTATGGACCCCCGGTGGTTCAGCTAGGTTTTCGTATGGACCCCCCGGTGGTTCAGCTAGGTTTTCGTATGGACCCCCCGGTGGTTCAGCTAGGTTTTCGTATGGACCCCGGTGGTTCAGCTAGGTTTTCGTATGGACCCCCCGGTGGTTCAGCTAGGTTTTCGTATGGACCCCCCGGTGGTTCAGCTAGGTTTTCGTATGGACCCCCGGTGGTTCAGCTAGGTTTTCGTATGGACCCCCCGGTGGTTCAGCTAGGTTTTCGTATGGACCCCCCGGTGGTTCAGCTAGGTTTTCGTATGGACCCCCGGTGGTTCAGCTAGGTTTTCGTATGGACCCCCCGGTGGTTCAGCTAGGTTTTCGTATGGACCCCCCGGTGGTTCAGCTAGGTTTTCGTATGGACCCCCCGGTGGTTCAGCTAGGTTTTCGTATGGACCCCCGGTGGTTCAGCTAGGTTTTCGTATGGACCCCCCGGTGGTTCAGCTAGGTTTTCGTATGGACCACCCGGTGGTTCAGCTAGGTTTTCGTATGGACCCCCGGTGGTTCAGCTAGGTTTTCGTATGGACCCCCCGGTGGTTCAGCTAGGTTTTCGTATGGACCCCCGGTGGTTCAGCTAGGTTTTCGTATGGACCCACCGGTGGTTCAGCTAGGTTTTCGTATGGACCCCCGGTGGTTCAGCTAGGTTTTCGTATGGACCCCCCGGTGGTTCAGCTAGGTTTTCGTATGGACCCCCCGGTGGTTCAGCTAGGTTTTCGTATGGACCCCCGGTTGTTCAGCTAGGTTTTCGTATGGACCCCCCGGTGGTTCAGCTAGGTTTTCGTATGGACCCCCCGGTGGTTCAGCTAGGTTTTCGTATGGACCCCCGGTGGTTCAGCTAGGTTTTCGTATGGACCCCCCGGTGGTTCAGCTAGGTTTTCGTATGGACCCCCCGGTGGTTCAGCTAGGTTTTCGTATGGACCCCCCGGTGGTTCAGCTAGGTTTTCGTATGGACCCCCCGGTGGTTCAGCTAGGTTTTCGTATGGACCCCCGGTGGTTCAGCTAGGTTTTCGTATGGACCCCCCGGTGGTTCAGCTAGGTTTTCGTATGGACCCCCCGGTGGTTCAGCTAGGTTTTCGTATGGACCCCCCGGTGGTTCAGCTAGGTTTTCTTATGGACCCCCGGTGGTTCAGCTAGGTTTTCGTATGGACCCCCCGGTGGTTCAGCTAGGTTTTCGTATGGGGGGGGGGGGGGGGGGGGGGGGGGGACACCCGGTGGTTAAGCTAGGTTTTGTATGGAACCCCGGTGGTTTCAGCTAGGTTTTCGTATGGACCCCCCGGTGGTTTCAGATCGTTTTAGTAGGGACCCCGGTGGTTCAGCTAGGTTTTCGTTATTGGACACCCACGGGGTTCAGCTCGGTGTTCGTACTGGACCAACCGGTGGTTTCAGCATAGGTGTTTGTATGGACCCCCCTAATGTTCACCTTGTATTTTCTAGGTTTTAGGGTTTAGGGCCTAGGGTTTGGGCTTTAGGGTTTAGGGCCTAGGGTTTGGCCTTTAGGTTTAGGGCCTAGGGTTTGGGCTTTAGGGTTTAGGGCCTAGGGTTTGGGCTTTAGGGTTTAGGGCCTAGGGTTTGGGCTTTAGGGTTTAGGGCCTAGGGTTTAGGCTTTTAGTGTGTCATGCTTCTTTCTGTAAGGCGGAAAAGATGACACATTTCCGACCTGAAATGTGTCATGCTTCTTTCTGTAAGGCGGAAAAGATGACACATTTCCGGCCTGAAATGTGTCATGCTTCTTTCTGTACTGCAGCAATAGAAACATAAGTATGCCTGGAAATCGA